ATATGAGCACTATGTCGTTCATCACTTTGATTATTCTTGATTTCTGAATAATCATCGACTGCTTTTTTTAGTCCACTGTAACCAACAAGTAGATGCTGACCGCCTATGAAGCCTCTCTGTCATATTTATCGAGAGACATAAACAAATCAACATCATCATTATCAATGTAGTTGCCAACTAAATATAGTACTAAAGTTATAAACTTTATTTATTCCAAATTCAAGTTTCGAAAATATTTTTCTTTCATTTCTTAACAATCTATTCTAGATTATTGTGTTCTTCAATTTTATAATGTAAACGTTTTTGCAAATTAAAAAGCTCCTGAAAAAACTCTTAATATTCGTTCGATTTAAATAATCTTTCAACATGATGTTAATCATACTTAGTCTATAGATTTTCGCCACATTAGATGCTTTTGAATCAATATCATGGAGGGACGAAATCGATGTAATGTAATGAACAGTATTGAATTGATTTTAATGTATTTTTTATTAATTGAAGCTCGTCAATAGAGTCACAAAAAACTCTTGATGAGATGCAAACATATGACAAGAAAGAAAAGAAGAAAACTGCAGTATAACATTGCTGCAGCTCTTCTTTGTTTACATATAATACTTTCACATTGCCACTAACTCTACAGACACGAACGAAAAAAGAGCAAACGGTGGCAACAATAAAGATTCATCAGCTTATGTTTTTGTTTCGTTCGTTCGTTGTTAATGTACTTTTTTTTTGTAGATCTTTCATGTTTGTTATTATTGCATTTACAGAAGAAATCCCAAAGAATCATAAAATCAATTGTGGAACAGACTTGTATTTTTGTGTAAAGAAATGCTGGATGTGTTACAGTGATAAAGACTTTTTTGTGACTTTGGAATTAAGGAGAGTGTGAGTTTGACTTCCGGACTCCTGTTCATTCACACCCATATGACACGGCTAAGGTTCATAAATGCAACTATGAGATAAAACTTTGGTTTGCTTGCTATATATCCGACTCCACTTAGACAACTCGCAATCGCTCCAGTAATCACAGAGCACAGTAGATATTACTGAGCGTTAAGCACGATGCAAACGATTCTTTCCTATTCGAATCACCAGTTAATGATTTATAGTATATTTGACAAAGATAAAAATTGTTGTTTCGTTCACATTATCAGAATGTTTATTACAAGCAGAATGAAAAACATCGAACTGACGATGTCTTCGTTATTTGTTTTTCGTCGCTGCCAGAAAGAGAAAAACTGTCGTTCTGAAAGAATGAAAGAAAAATAAACAATGAATAAGACAAGGTATTCAATGCAATGACACTCAATTCATTATACAGATGAAAAGCAAACGAAAGTTGGAAAGAATAACAATAGAATAAATGACGCTGTTGGATTTTTTTCTGTTTCACTTGTTGTTGACAACCATATTTTCAATTGAAACTAGGTGAAGTTCGTTGATAAGTGTCAACGAAAAAACATACACATATTTCACGTTGTAGAAAAATCTAGAAAAAAAACAACAGGTATCGACTGTAAAAACAAAAAAGGTGCTCTCTTTATAAACAAAAACCAATTTTTTAACGTTTTGAATTAATAAGCAATATCTTATAAAGCATTTCAGTGAAAAAAACATCCAAGCAAAATATTTCCAAATCAGTCATGAGTGCTGCTGCTGGAACTACAAGATCTTCAGTTGTTGCCAGCCGACCAAAACAAGGTCGGCTTCAAAATTATTTACTGATCTGGGTCGATGGCAATATCGACGAAAAGAACGAAGATTGTGCAAACACACTGACCAAATTGCGCAGTGTCGTCAGAGAGGTGAATCTCTGTACGACGCCAGCGCAATGTATCAAATTTCTTAATGATATGGATAACGAGAAGGCTTTCGTTATCTCGTCTGGAGCATTAGGACAGTAACTCGTTCCAGAAATTCATGACTTATCACAAGTGGACACAATTTACATCTTTTGTGATGATAAAACAAGACACGAATCGTGGGTAACGGAGTGGGCGAAGATTGAAGGTGTTTTCACTTCAATCAAGCCCATATGTGATTCTTTAAAAAAGGTCACTCGCGAATGTGATCACGATGCAATTCCTATGAGCTTCGTTCCGAAGCGAATAATGGCAGCAACATCTGGTCAAAAGAATCTGGACCAATTAGAACCAACTTTTATGTATTTAGTATTATTCAAAGAAATTATATTAGAAATCAATGAACACTACGCTAAGCCGCTGAATGATTTGGTCGTCTACTGCTGTAGAAAAGGTATATCAGAACAAGAATTAAAGGACTTTCAAAGTACATACCACCAGAAATCACCAGTCTGGTGATATACATGTGAAATTTTTCTCTATGGCATGCTCAACTACGCCTTACGATCATTGGACATGGAAGCGATGACAAAAATGGGCTTCTTCATCCGAAAACTCCATCAGCAGCTAGAACAACTGCACAAAGAACAAACAGAAGCTTTTTCCAAAAAACTCATCGTTTATCGTGGCCAAGGGCTCATTGAACAAGACTTTCAACATCCAATGGACACAAAATGAGGACTGCTGTCATTCAACAACTTTTTGTCAACTAGTAAGAAACAACAGGTCGCCATGGAATTCGTCCAACGTGCAATGCACAAGAAGAAAGATATCGTGGGTGTCCTTTTCATCATGACAATTGATCCAAGTAAAATTTTAGCTTCAACTACACCATTTGCCCTCATCGACGAATACAGTGCCATCGAAAGTGAAAAGAAATTTTATTTTCAATGCACACTGTTGTTCGTGTCGATGATATCAAACAGACAGTCAGCAACAGTCGCCTATGGGAAGTACAATTAAGTCTCACAGGCGTCAATGATCCACAACTGGCTACTCTTACTGAACGCATAAAAGGGGAGCTTTTTGGATCCACAGGATGGCATCGATTTGGCCATCTAATGCTAAAAGTGGGTCACTTCAATCAAGCTGAAGAACTCTACAACGGATTACTCAAGAACTCGTCCAGCGACAGTGTCAGAGCAAGTATTTATCACCAGCTTGGAATGATGAAATATCACCAAGGAAAATATAAAGAAGCAGTTGCATTTTATAAAAAATCACTTGGAATCGAGCGAAAAACTCTTCCGGAAGATCATTCTTCATTGGTTGCTACCTACAATAACATCGGTCTTGCGTATGACAACATTGGTAACTACTCGAAAGCACTTGAATTTTACGAAAAAGGTTTAGAAATAACGAAAAAGTCTCTGCCTCCAAATCATCCCAATTTGGCTACTTCCTATAACAACATCGGCATGGCGTATGACAACATGGGTAACTACTCGAAAGCAGTTGAACTTTGGGTATGAGTTTGGGTGTAGGTGTAGGTGTGGGTTTGGGTGTGAGTGGGTGTTGGTGGACGTGAGCGTGGATATAGGTGTGGGTTTGGATTTGGATTTCAACATAGATCTTTTCTTGACAATACCCACACTTCGCACCTACACCCCACACCCCACGCACCCACAACTACATCCACACCTCCACCCATACCCACACACCCACACCCAAACTCCACGCCCACACCAGCACCCACACCCCATATTGAGGGTGGACGTGGATGTGAGCGTTTATTTTCTTTTCACATACAGCAACATCGACTGCCACACACCATCCAAGGCGATGACACTCGAGTGATTGTGGATATAATCACTAAAGAAAACTTGGAAAGACTAATAATCCCATGAACGATGTTGTAGGGCTTTTTCTACTTTGTTTATTGTTCACAGTTATATTCTCATTTTAAGCTAGGTAGAGTTTACTGAGTGTCAACGAATAAAAACACTTACATTTGAAACCGTAAGTCTAGAAAAAAGTCGAATACAGCAGCGATATAAATGAACAACGTGATTTCTATTCAAACAATTGTAGATTATTCACAATTCTAGATTATCACTCAAGCGGCATATCATATACAATATGAGTGGACACATGTTCAAGACAACAGTTTCTACGTCACAAATCGATGCCATTACAACTTCAAGAATATCTTCAAATACCATTGAAGCAAAACAACACCGAGTTCAAGATTATTCGTTGATCTGGATAGACGGCAATATTGATGTGGCAAATAAGAATTGTCAAAATGCGCTTGCAAAATTACGCAGTGTCATTAATGACGTTCATACTTTCACCCAATCGGATGAATGCGTTGACTTTCTCACTGAAGTCGATGACAGAAAGGTGTTCCTCGTTGTAGCAAGTACTATGAGCCAATCAATGATACCTTTGATACATGACATTGCGCATCTTGACTGCATTTACATTTTTTCTGAGAATGAAACACAATACAAAGAATGGGCAACAAACTTGTCAAAAATTCAAGGTATCTTTACAGAAATTGCACAAATTTGCGATTCATTACAAAAAGTCGCTCGTCAATGCGATCACGACGCAATGCCGATGAGTTTCGTTCCACAAGAGATGGTGCTAGCAACAGCAGCATCTGCCGAGCGCAATCTTGACCAATTGGAGCCGTCTTTTATGTATTCGACATTATTCAAAGAAATTTTATTGGAAATCGAGGAAAACGACGCTAAGTCGATGAGTGACCTTGTCGCCTATTGCAGTAACAAAGGTGTTCCTGAATCACAATTAAAGGGATTTCAGGATAGATACCACGATAAATCGCCAGTCTGGTGGTATACTCGGCAAATTTTTCTCTACGGCATGCTCAATTGTGCCCTACGGTCACTTGACATGGAGGCCATGACAAAAATGGGTTTCTTCATCCGCTCCCTCCATCGACAATTAGAAAAACTTCATCGAGAACAATCGGGTGCCTCTATGACAAAGTTCATCGTTTATCGAGGTCAGGGGCTTTCACAACAGGATTTTAAACATTTAGTCGACTCGAAAGGTGGACTTCTCTCGTTTAATAATTTCTTGTCGACCAGTACAGAAAAACAGGTAGCCATGAAATTTATTCCACGTGCCATGCGCGAGAATAAAGACATCGTGGGTGTCTTTTTCATCATGACAATTGATCCAAGTAAAATTTCAGCTTCCACTACTCCATTTGCCCTCATCGATGAATACAGTGCTATTGAAAGTGAAAAAGAAATTTTATTTTCAATGCACACTGTTTTTCGTGTCGATGATATCAAGCAGGCAGTCAGCAACAGTCGTCTATGGGAAGTACAATTGACTCTCACAGGCGACAATGATCCACAATTGGCTACTCTTACTGAACGCATAAAAGGGGAACTCCGTGGATCCACAGGATGGCACCGTTTGGGTGATCTAATGCTTCAAGTGGGTCACTACGATCAAGCTGAAGAACTTTATAACGAATTACTAAAGAACTCGTCCAGCGACAGTGATAGAGCACATATATATCATCAGCTTGGACTGATGAAATTGCATCAAGGACAATACAAAGAAGCAGTTTCATTTTATGAAAAATCACTTGAAATCAAGCGAAAGACTCTTCCGGAAGATCATTCTACATTGGCTACTTCCTACAACAACATCGGTGGAGTGTATGGCAAAATGGGTGACTACTCGAAAGCACTTGAAGTTTACGACAAATCACTTAAAATAAAAGAAAAATCTCTGCCTCCGAAGCATCCCTCATTGGCTACTTCCTACAACAACATCGGTTCGGTGTATAAAGACATGGGTAACTACTCGAAAGCACTTGAATTTTACGAAAAAGGTTTAGAAATAACGAAAAAATCTCTGCCTCCGAATCATCCCGATTTGGCTAGTTCCTACAACAACATCGGTGGAGTGTATAAAGACATGGGTAACTACTCGAAAGCACTTGAATTTTACGACAAATCACTTAAAATAAGAGAAAAATCTCTGCCTCCGAATCATCCCGATTTGGCTAGTTCCTACAACAACATCGGTGGAGTGTATATGAACATGGGTAACTACTCGAAAGCACTTGAATTTTACGGCAAAGCACTTAAAATCTGCGAAAAATCTCTGCCCCCGAATCATCCCAATTTGGCTACTTCCTACAACAACATCGGTCTTGCATTTAAAAACATGGGCAACTACTCGAAAGCACTTGAATTTTACGACAAATCACTTAAAATAAGAGAAAAAGCTCTGCCTCCGAATCATCCCGATTTGGCTCAATCCTACAACAACATCGGTGCAGCGTATTACGCCATGGGCAACTACTCGAAAGCACTTGCATTTTACGACAAATCAGTTAGAATAAGAGAAAAAGCTCTGCCTCCGAATCATCCCGATTTGGCTTCTACCTACAACAACATCGGTCTTGCGTATGACAACATGGGTAACTACTCGAAAGCACTTGAATTTTACGAAAAATCACATAAAATACTCGAAAAAGCTCTGCCTTCGAATCATCCCGATTTCGCTCAATCCTACAACAACATCGGTACGGCGTATTCCGGAAAAGGTGACTACCCAAAAGCACTTTCATATCTAGAAAAGTCACTTGCCATCTGGCAAAAATCAGTCCCACCAACACATCCTAATATTAAAACGGCGATGAATAATATTGACTATGTGAAAAAGAAAATGTAACTGTGTTGTTTTTCTTCTCGATTCCTCAATAAATTGATTTTGATTGCAATTCACCTCACTTCCTGGATTTTCTCGGCTCATTTTCGCGTACACGCGCGCGTGACCAGGGAGACCCCCTGTAAGCCCGCAATGGGTACACGCAGAGCGGACCACGCCGGACTGGTAAGACATGATCATGGGTGTGACGTACGTAAACGGCGACAGGGACCTACGAACAGACGGCCTTCCCGAGTACTCCACTGCTTTCGCCAACATAGGCACAAGAGATCTCCCTGGGTCAGATTACGAAGCCATCTGACGGGCTGTGATATAGGTTAATACCTCACTCTACTACTACAACAAAGAAAAACAAAAAATATTCCATCTAGAATAGATTACATGTCTACCTTATCAAAATAATAACTGGAAAAGTTCTATTGGCCATTAGAACTTTTCAATTTATTTATATTTATTCGCATCTCAATAAGCAAAAAAAAAAGACTAAATTTAGTTAATAACTGTCTTATCTCTCTATTCTCCTTCTCAAAAAAAAAATAAGCAACATACCCGACTTGAAATTAAAATATATAAAACATTACGTAAGTTAATAATACATGTTAACATTCAAATTTGGAACATTGTAAATAATGATACGGTACCGTATGATTGTATAAATTTCATTATCATAAATATAGATTGCACCTACTAAAAATAAAATCATTAGACTACTTATTCTATGTATTGTTGATGATGAGATGTTTGTTTCAATAGAATGATTTCATACAAGAAAATCATTCCTTATATATGTTTGAGACATGAACTTTTAGTCAATGACGTTAGTGTTATTTTTTCTCTCCACCAATTAAAAGATTGATGATCGAAATCGAAAAGAAAACAATTCATTCTCATGAACTCAATAATTGATGAAATGATCATTGTCATCTTTGTTTTCGTCGACGATCAATTCATCATATATGGACTTATTCTCTTTACACTATAGACCAGCACTCAAATAGATGATTGACAAATCATCTATTTCAAAATACAACGTGATACAATATCATCATTATTGAAAAACAGTTTTTTATTTAAAATATTCTACATTGAATAAAAATTGATCTACAACATTTAAACAATTTGTTCGTATTCAATCAAAAGTAAGAAAGAAAAAGAATCATTGATGGACTAGATGATTCTAGTTTTTCGTGTCTAAACACGGATAAATAAGTAAATTAAAATGAAAAAAAAAGATTAGAAATATATTCATAAGACTTATATAATAATAGAATAGAACGAAATTATTTTATTTTATTTTTTAGTAAATCATCTAGTAAATTATATTAAAATTAATTTAATTTCTACAATACTATAGCTTTCAACAGATAATAAAAGTCATCACCATTAAGATTGTGTTGCTATTGAGCTCATCAAGTATTCATAGGACTCTTTTGTATCAGCTTCATAGTAACAAAATTATATTGAGTTTACTACAATCTGTTAAATGATTTACTACAATATAAAATAAAATTGTTTCATTTTATTCTATTATGAAAAAAAAACAATCAAACATATAAATTTCTAATAATCAATACAATATATTTAAGATTTGAACATATTCGACTTGTAAATCCATTTTTCATTTTTGTCGAAAAAATTCTTCTGTTATGTTATATTGACTTCCAGATGTTGTAAGACTAATATCAAGTTGATCAAAATTCTTTATTGATTTCACTCAAAGAATATCAAATGAAATTCACACGTAAAGTATAAACAAATCTCATAGGTTTAACTTTATCGTATATCCTCTATTTTTTTTACATAAAATTTTGTTGATAAAATATGAAAATAAATTCATAATATCAAACATTCAAGTTATGTTGATAAATTACTAAAAACACCGAATATCTCTGTTCAATAAGGAAGCAATAGATGTGTGAATCGATTAATTCGCTACACTCTAGTTTTTGTTACGGTAATTTATTCACACTATTGATCATTGGGAAAATAAAGACTTGACAAAAAAATGTTGCTGTAGGTTTTCTTTAAAGTTGATATGGTTTGCCCAAGAATCGTCGTAGAGAGCTTAGAAACGTCTCATTTGGTAGAGAATTACTTGCTCAGATATTACCCGTAGTGAGAGCAAATTTTATACCGCTGATTTATAGATGCTTTTTGAAACTTTCAAATAATATTGATATTAATCGTCGTGATGATTGTCATTCTATACATCTCTATCGTGTACTCTGCTATGGATATGAAAACATTTTATTAAAAAAAAGTAACTTTTTATTTATCAATAATTTATAATTATCACTCAAATTAACAAGAAAAAGAGGAACACATTAAGATTTAGATGTTCTTATTATATCTTAAGAGCAAAAATTGAAAATAGTTATATGAATCGATATCGATGTTAAATCGATTGAAATAAAGTTAAAAACCAAGAGAAGTGATGATGAATTCGAATTTTATGTTTAGAGTATTGTACGCATAGGTTTTCTCTTCATATCCTCATTCACACCTTTTCACTACTATGTCTGAAAATGATTTCATTCCAATTATCCAAATGATTAATCCATTAATCGACATTGACAGCTTTGAACCAGATTTTACAGTCAAGTGAAACTCGAATACCATCTAGTCAATTATAAATGTTTTATGCAAAATAAATTGATTTTCTACATTCTTCTGTAAAAAATTAATTCAACAAATTTTGAATGATGTAAAAGAAACAACTGTTCGATTTAAACGTTGAAAGCAGTAAGTTAACTATGCATATATACACACTTGTTTAAACCAGGTATTTATATTAGGTTTTTTAACATTTTGAAGTACCAAAAAATAGTTAATCTTAGTCAATGTTTAAATGTCGATTCATTCGAAAAAGATAAGTCTTAATTAAGAGATATTACCATTTGGTTTCATTTATTTATTTATCTAAAAAAAACTCAAATAATTACTAGAACATCTAAATTTTTGAGAAATTTCAAGTATAACAACGAAGTTTTTTTT